TGGAACATTGTGGGTGTGGTGTATGAATGTTAACACTTTGTAATAATTCTTTAGTATATTACTTGTGTGGTGTAGAAGAGAATCATTTACTGCTTGCAAACCAAGGATGGTAAGATGATGTCATGGGGTAGGACTGGATAAGTCTGACTTCTTCCTACTCCATTCAAGCATGTACTAGGTATAAGCAAATTGATATTGGATTAGCATTTGTTGGATATGTGTAAAATTATGTGTGTTGACATATCATCTGTCTTTACATGCTTGAAAGAATAAATCAAATCAAATCAAAATCAGTCAGATATCTTCCTACATTGATGTGGCAACTGCTTATACAGTGAGGAACAGAAGTATTTGAACACCCTGCGATTTTACAATTTCTGCCACTTAGAAATCATGGAGGGGTCTGAAATTCACATTGTAGGTGCATTCCCACTCTGAGAGACAGAATTTAAAAAAAATTTCAGGAAATCCCATTGTATGATTTTTAAAGAATTTATTTGTCTTGCACTGCTGAACATAAGTATTTGAACACCTGAGAAACAACAAGAATTCTGGCTCTCAAAGACCTGTTACTGTGCCTTGAAAAAGTCCACCTCTACTCCACTCATTAATCTAAATTAGTAGCACCTGTCTGAGCTCTTTAAAGACACCTGTCCACCCCACAGTCAGTCAGACGCCAACTACTACCATGGGCAAGACCAAAGAGCTGTCAAAAGACACCAGAGACAAAATTGTGGACCTCCACAAGGCTGGAAAGGGCTACGGGGCAATTGCCAAGCAGCTTGGTGAAAATAGATCAACTGTTGGAGCAATTGTTAGAAAATGGAAGAGGCTAAAGACGACTGTCAGTCTCCCTCGGACTGGGGCGCCATGCAAGATCTCACCTCGTGGGGTATCACTGATGATAAGAAAGGTGAGGAATCAGCCCAGAACTACAAGGGAGGAGCTGGTCAATGACATGAAGAGAGCTGGGACCACAGTTCTGTCGGTAGAACACTACGCTGTCATGGTTTCAAATCATGCATTGCACGGAAGGTTCCCCTCCTCAAGTCATCACATGTCCAGGCCCGTCTGAAGTTTGCCAAAGACCATCTGGATGATCCAGAGGAGGCATGGGAGAAAGTCATGTGGTCAGATGAGACCAAAGTAGAACCTTTTTGGTCTAAACTTCACTTGTCGTGTTTGGAGGAAAAAGAAGGATGAGATGCATCCCAAGAACACCAACCCTACTGTGAAGCATGGGGGTGGAAACATCATAGAGCATTTTAGAGGGGTCGGGGCTGGGTCTTCCAACATGACAATGCCCCGAAGCACACAGCCAGGATAACCAAGGAGTGGCTCACGAAGGAACATATCAAGGTTCTGGAGTGGCCTAGCCAGTCTCCAGACCTCAATCCAATAGAACATCTTTGGAGGGAGCTTAAACTCCGCGTTGCTCAGCGACAGCCCCGAAACCTGACAGATCTAGAGGAGATCTGTGTGGAGGAGTGGGCCAAAATCCCTGTTGCAGTGTGTGCAAACCTGGTCAAGAACTACAGGAAACGTTTGACCTCTGTAATTGCAAACAAAGGTTTCTGTACCAAATATTAACACTGATTTTCTCAGGTGTTCAAATACTTATGTTCAGCAGTGCAAGACAAATAAATTCTTTAAAAATCATACATGTGATTTCCTGAAATTTTTTTTTTTATTTAATTCTGTCTCTCAAGAGTGGGAATGCAACTACAATGTGAATTTCAGACCCCTCCATGATTTCTAAGTGGGAGAACTTGCAAAATCGCAGGGTGTTCAAATACTTCTGTTCCTCACTGTATGCAACCACCTGCCTGCGCTCAAACATTTCATAACATTTTTGCAACACCAATGTAAGATCCCATACAGATTAAGAGACTTAAAAAGCAAAACAAATATATACAGCACTGCTCAGTTCATGTGTTTGTTACAAACTGTTCCATTATTTGCTAAACATTTTGATTAATCCATCAGTATTCGACAAAATTGGTGGACAGGGTTCGAGCTTGTAGAAATTAAAAGTACAAAATATGGCAAAGAGAAGGAACAAAAAGATGGCAGTAAGCATGACCACTTACATCCACTGAATGTTGTTCTTTGATTTCTTTTTGATCAGGTGAATCCCTTCCAGTACATTGGTGATATCATACAGCCTCCTTTTTTGTACCTGAGAGCAGAAAATACAGGTCTAGTCAGTTACACAATTAGTGATAGATTTAGCTGTGGAAATTACCAACCAATAAATCTACTACAAAAATCAATCTGACAGCATTTAGAACACTTTCCAAGCTTCGGACAGATAGATCTGTCTTAGATGTCCCCTTTAAATCCTATTAGATATTTTCCACTTGGACATAAAACTACCTGTAAGGTTTCAGCAGCGAGGTTGAGGTCCAAAACGCCATCAGAAGACTGAGCGAGGAGGTCTACAAACTTCTTTGTTAACAAGCCCAGTGAGGTGTCATACCGCGTCTTCTCTGGTGGTGATTTGGGTGCTGTGGCAGAGCAAAGGCAGAGAAAGAAGGGAGGGGAAGGTGGGGGGGGGTGAATCAAGGGAAAGGACGATGTATTTTAGCAATGTCCCTGATATTTAACTGTTCTCCTGGAGTGAGAATTAAGTGACCACCTCTTGATGACTATGGCTAGAGCATCACACTGTCAAGTTTTTTTTCTGCCAACTATACAAAGCAGCATCTAGGCTGTTCCTTTGTATGACACTTTGTACAGCCCATTTCCCACAAGATGACCCTGAATCATGAAATTCTGGACTGAATTTACTGAATGGATGGCAGAGGCCTTCTTACTTCTAGGTGTCTTTAGCCGTGCCCCATTGGCTGCCACAGCTCCTCCTCTGCCTCTTGGAGTTCTGGCTGGTTCTGACTGGTACTGGTGGTCTGAATCATCGAGCGCCAACCGCCTTTTTGCCTGTGAACGAGGAGAAAACTCCCTTGTTATTAGGTTCCCTCTGAACATCGAACTTGAGGATATTGTTCTTCACAATCTAATCCATTTTAATGTTGGCAAGTGTAGCATATTTTACTTCACAACTACTGATATGGTGTAGTGGAGACTGATAAAATCTGTCAAGACAGTGGGGAATTTTTTTTTTTGCTAAAACTTATTATGCATGTGATGATGTGGTGCAAAACCAGTGGTCGAATTCCTCTTTTCAACTAACTGGCTAAGACAAACCACATAGCTTAAGTGTGAATCACACTTATGGGTTTGATCCCAGCATTGCACAGTAACACCAAAGAAAACCAGTAGTAGCAAGTGTATTCACAGGCATTTACTCCCACATGCAATATTACCCCATAACTAAAGGGATTGACCAGTCATTGTGTTCTTGTTCAAAGGCAATTCAAATATTTCTTACAGAAAATCCCAACCCACTGTGTAAGGATGTAACATTGCCATTTTTGTGCCCAATTTACCCAATAATCAAATCCAAATATGAATGTTACTGCTGCCTACGCCAGCTCAACAACCACTTATGAGCTTGCTGTACGTTTCATGTCCATGTTTTCCTTAACTTCAGAGTTACAGGTTGGAAAACTTACCAAGTTGCTATCTTAAGCTTAACAAAGGCTGTGTATGTTCATTGCCTTGATTTCAGTAGTAGTAGTACACACTATAATGGTCTGCTTCATGAACACTGCAGTGTTCAACACTCTGTTTAGACAATATATTCAACATCCCTGACACTGTAAACGTTGAACCGCATGCTAAAACGATGACTTTTCGTAGCTTCAGTGGAAAAAAAATTTGACTTTATACTGCCAGTCTAAATTAGCATTCCAGTCACCACCACTGTTACAGGGCACCATGACTTTGTGAATAGTCTGTTCAAGCAGGAAGCCTTTAACTTCTGTGTGGGCAAAAATCCACCGTTTTAGTGTCTTTGATTAACACCCAGGTGTCAGAGTGCTGTTTTATATAGTACCCTCTAAACCCCTTCTAGGGACAAGTCAGTTTACCCTCTAAACCCCTTCTAGGGACAAGTCAGTTTATCCTCAAGAAACAAAAAGTACTTTAAATCATAGTTAACCCATCTATAACATTTAATCTACCCCATGTATAGAAAAGCATACATGCCCTCTATTGACAGTCAAAATGTCAGCCATTTTATATCACCAAGCAGTTCCCCTCACCCCCTACCTGCTCATGGCTATAGTCTGAAATACAGAGTGGTTTAGTTCATTAAAGATGAATAGCCAGGAACATACCAATACCCTGAATGCAGCTGAAACTGTTCATGTGGTTTGTGCATGTTCAGAATACAGGAAACGTGCAGTCAGCACTAAAGCAACAAACTCGAGTTTCACTTTACTGGGAACGAAACGCACCTTAACGATACACTTTATTTACAAAAAGAGGGGCATGAATCAAGCACAAAATTAATGTCAAGGCCGATAACGAGAAATGTTGTCCTCTATTAATCGATATCACGACTAGCTTTGAAGGCTAACGCATTTTCAAGCTTCATTCAAGTTGACTTGCATCTTCAGAAACGACTTGGAGAAAATGTACCTTATAGTTTTAAAACTGAAGTGAAGCTTTAGCTATGTGTAAGCCCGTGTATTTGCAAATTTTAGCCACTAGTGTCATGTTAGAAAACCAAAAATGAGTTATCTATGAGCGAAGAAGCCCAACAATCACCCCAACCCCCAAATTAACACACCAATAGCTGCTACTAGGCCACCGCTAACGTTACAGATCTCTTACCAATATTTCCATCTGGCTGCAAGGCTGAAACGGACTCAAAGGCACCATGAAGTTAGCATAATAGAGGACAGGTCTGCGTCTGTGTAAACGCAAAGCTAACTTAAACTCGCAGTTTGCTTCCCTACAGTCAACAAACCACTTAACCAACCCAAGTGGGTAACTTAGCTAGCGGCAGTTACTTAGCCAACCTCACTTGAGTCGTGGGAATGCCCTGGCCAAGAAGCTAACATTAGCTGCCCGAACAACAAGCTCGGCTAGCAGAGCAAGCTAACATTTTGTCGTGTTTGTAGCAAACCCAATACGTTTAAACAAGATGTGCGGATTATTACCGGCGGTCTCCCCAGAGCGGGTCGTTGTCCCACTCCGTTTGCTGTAGCTTGTTGTGGAGTTGTGTAGATGTTGTTTATCTGAGGCTCGGATAAACACACATTTGATGTCTGTTTAACGTTGCAAGGCGGTGGGGTTGTTATTATTTGGATGTACGTAGCGTTAGATTGTCCTGGATTTAAACGATCCGGTAGAGTTGTTAAAATTATATTATTGTCCAGAGAAGTGCGCCCAACCCCGGCTAAAATCAGTTGGTCCGGAGTCGAGGAGATCCCTCTTCTCATCTTGCGTATTCGGGGTAACCCCTTTCTTATTACTGTACTTTCAAGCTCGTGAGGCTGCTAATCCGCCGTAACAGATACAAAAATAATCAGACCGAAGTAAAGATGAGAGTCTGATTTATCGACTTCTGTAAAGTATTTTTCTTTAAGAAAGTGCATTTAGACAGATGCAACGGATTAAAAAGTAACGCAACTCTCGGTTTCCCCGTCTAGAAATGGCTTCAGGAAACGGCCTGATGAATGAAGGGATACGGTTTACGCGCTCAAGAGCCCTCCCGCGAAACTCAGATTTCCCGGGAAATTTTCAAACGAAATTTACATGCCAGATGCTATTGGTCCATCAGCAAAAGCCCCCACCCATCTAACAACCGTATTGACCGATGATAGCTCAGGATTTAGTGCGCCACGTGTTCATTGGCAGTTGTAAACAGGCGACGTCATCTGTCACGCCTTTGGTGTTCCCTGACAGGACGCCGAGTGGCGCAAGTGAACAGGTGCTGAAGAGAGTGAAGAGCAAAATAAAAAACGGTACTATGTAGATCTCCTCACCATATATTTTACATTAGTTTGATGTTATTAGATGTATTTTTATTTTTATTTTTATACAGTGAATTAAGGTCACACGTTTTTTTGTATGTTTTTTTTTGTTTACAACGGGAGCAGATATAAGGATAAGGATAATCAGCTTTATTGGCCAAGTGTGTTACACACATGGAATTTTTTTCCGGTACAGAACCGAGGCAGCCATCTGCAGCGCCACCTCAACCAATGGCTCTAACCATCGGGGGCAACTTGCACATTTTCAGCCCCTGAAATAATACATGTCCTCTTTTACAACCTGACTTTTGGAGGTACTTAGATGTCAGAATGGCAAGATTATGTTTGTCAGTACAGAACTGACCTCCTCCAAGTAATAAACTTATGTAATTGCAGATCAGTGTTGTATCAGTTAGTAAACCCAGTGAAGTAAAAAGTAGTGATAACAAAAAATATAATATAAAGGGCCAAAAATAAAAATATACAAAATGCAGACTGTACTTTTCACCCCTAAAAGATGGTTTGGTTTGAATTTTATTGTTATGAACCCCATAAATCTTTGCTTATTTCATACAGCGTATGCTTATCTCCTGTTCTTCAAATTTTCAACATATATCACATGTCTGTTTCGCCCAGACAGACTGGGATGTGTTTAAAGCTGCAGCTACCTCAGAGGACTTTTCTGTCAGCGTACAGGATTATGCTGAGTATGTGACCGGGTACATTAGTACCTGTATTGACAGCACTGTGCCCACCATACAAGTCAGGAGGTTTCCCAACCAGAAGCCCTGGACAAACAGTCAGGTGCTGCATGCTCGCTCTCATGCATTCAGATCAGGCAACGAGACGGAGTACAAAGCTGCGAAGTACAGACTGAGGAAAGCCATTACAGCGGCCAAGAGGCAGTACAAAGAGAAGCTGAATGGCTTCTATTCTACTGCTGACTCTGGACGGATGTGACAAGGCCTGCAGCACATCACAGACTACAGGACCACCACCAGCATCATCAGCTCCACAGACAGCCTGCCGGATGACCTCAACACCTTCTACACCCGCTTTGAGAC